GCCTGTGTGTGTGTGTGTGTGTGTGTGTGTGTGTGTGTGTGTACACGTGGTGAAACACCAAACCAATGTGCCAGGATCTGGAGAATAAAGATGTATCTTATCTTATCTTATCTAATGCAGTTAAGAGATTTTTCAAGAAAACGAAGTCATTAAAAATAGCATACCGACGTTAGAGATTCTCTGTGCTCTAATTTCAGAAATAGAAAGATTGCCAGCTGAGTACTGTCTCGACTTCCAGGTTTTTGGGGAACTTCTAGAACGGCTGCTCTCAAGGCTCTTAAAACATTTTTTCCCTTTAAGCCCCCAGAAGTTATTGCAGATAATGCGTATGTTCCATAGAAATTCAGTCTCACCACTCGCTACCTTAAAATTACAAAATTCTTTCAGACATTTTTAGCCCTTTTGAAATACTAAGACCATGAAGTCCGGAACCAAATTTTGATGTTCTATCTGCTCGATCAAAATTGTAAGATTATTCGGAGCAGTTATCAAGATATTCAAAGAATTGCATTCGAAAAAGCTTGACATATTATGAAAATCGAAATTTTTACTTCAAAATTTTTGAAATCATGTAGATATCTACTGAGCAGATAGAGCTTCGTAACTCTCTCTGGGGTAGCAAATTAACTCCTATTGTTTTCCGACTGGAATTCAGTGCGCTCAAATTGGTTTACGTCAAACATAGACAAAAATGGTGATGGTACAAGATAATACAGAGCTCACTTCTGTCTGTGTCTTATAGGGACATGTTATCTTGATGAGACAGTGTGTGTGTGTGTTTGTGTGTGTGTGTTTGTGTGTTTGTGGATGTGTGTGCTTGTGTTTTACCTTGTGTCATGGAGATTTGCTCCGAGAACATGATATGTGCAAAATAGGGGCCAAACGTATCTCTTTTAACATTCTGCCAACTTTCTTGCCCGACATGAATATATTCTTTAACACAGCACCCTAATATAGAGAGTAGTCCAAAAATATTACAGTGCATAAGACAACTTTTTAACATTCTGATAAATGTAACATTATGAAGGGAACTGAAGTCCCAAAAAAGTGAAATGGGTGTTCTATACAGAACCAGATTATACAATTCTGTAAATTGTATCTTTAAAAGTATTCGTCAAAGATAACTTGACACAGAAGGCTAAGTGTTTAAGAAATCCGCCGTTGACATGCAAGCCAAATGTCACCCATTCAGCCACAGACAAATTATGCAGTGGAATCCTTAAAGACGGCTCCGGCGCCCAGTGAACGTTGTCATGTCGGTTGTACGGCCGTTCTCTCAAAGAGGTACAGACCTGCTGAGATCGGGACAATCTGCCATTGAGGCAAGTCAGTCTCTCCCAGGCGCCTTCTTTTCCTGTTTCCTTCTTCCGCTTGTCCCTACAGTAGACCTAGCTGCGGCGCTTTGAGAATGACGTCATCACAACAGGAAGTCATGAGCTCACCACGACAGAGGAGACTTCCTCAGCAGCCTCAAAGTGGTCACTGCCTCGCAACAGGACAAAGTTTCGGGGTTATCTGTTTGTTCCGGAAAACTTCAGACAATAGCTCCGGGAACAAACAAAAATGCCTCTAAAATAACAACAATTTTCTGCCATAGCTACTGTAGAAAGAAAGAATGAATGCATAACGGGAAATGTTGATCGTTGTCCCGCGAAAAGTGTCGGTACAACTGGCATAACAGGAGGTGATGGTGCAGGGCCCAGACAATTAGGTTCCTGCTATTTTTCTTTCAACTCGATGACTTCCACGAATTCGGCTTCCTGTTTCTGAGTCCGTTTCCGTTTCATCTCGTCTAGCTTGCTCCGGAGTTGCATCCCTTGTCTCTGTTTGTCCTGGGCCAACCTATGGGATCACAGAACGGACACAGGTCAGTGAGGTCATTGAGTGGACTTAGGTTTACTACTTTTCGTTAATACTAATACAACCATAGCAAGGTAAAGGTAAACTTGGGCCCTTCATTAAGAACTCACTTGACCTACTACGCACATTCGGGGTTTCCCGTCTCAGTAAGCCCCCATTTGGGTTGCATTGAAGTTATGTGGCCAAGTGGTTAGGCTCACAGACTTCCCTATTTCTTGCATCTTGCCCTTCACTCCATCTGAAACCCCAATCCTACCTACCAGTCACCACAGAACGTATAGTGCAACAGCTCCCATTCTCTTCTCTTCCCCCTCTCTCCCCCATTCATCCCTTTCTTCACCCCTACCCTTAGCCCGTCATCCCCTCCCCACCATTCACTCATGCCTCTCCATCTTTGGAGCCTCTTAAATAGCCTCAGAACCTGTATAGTGTTCAATACCTCTACCCCTACTCTTTACTTCTCCCCCATCTACCATCTCAGCCTCTCACCCACCCCCCACCCCCTCAGTAATCTAACTAACGCATTCTCTAGAAGTCTCAATATCTGTGTTCAACTATCAATCCCTACTTTTTCCATCAAGTGGAAATGGAGCCTTTAAATGTGAGGCAGCGTGGTGGAATCAGGCTCTCGTCAATTGAGCATAATATAGAGTTATTGGTATTGTCTTAAACATTGTTCACTTGTCTTTTTTTGGATGAAAAAAATATCCATATATCTTGAATGCAAGTCGAGATATTTGCAAGTGAAGGAGGTGGGGGTCACCTGTTTTCAGAGGTAAAATTAGTGAGAAAATGGCCGTCGAAGATTAGTTATTTCTTTAGCTTAAGAGCCCGTGGTAACTGAAAATTTACATTTTTTGTGCCTTTAACCAACGTTTTTCGGAAAATTTCACGCAGAAATTAGTTCTGTAATGGGCATGAAAGGTGTCGAGCCTCCCCC